ATTACAAGCTTTTACTCAACTCACTTCCTCCATGTCTAATTAATCTTGAAACCTACCTATAGATTTTGGAGGAAAAAACAAACTATTTTTGACCTTCAAAACCAATGGGATGGGGAAAGTATCAGATATGTTGTTTCTACCCTTCGTTGTTGTCTACATGGGGAATATAATCACGTAGTTTTGAATCCCGTATCTATTTTACAAAATTTTCCAGGAGCTCCCAAACTTTGCTCTGGGCCCAAAATCAGCCATTTTTAGCATCTCATATCTCCAGTGAGGAAGCTTTGAAAACTTTGAAATTCATAGCAAATAATACTCTAGTCTAGAGTAACTTTGAGTTAAAATTACAACTGTGATATTCTACTAATCGCGAAGTTGTGGGCACTTTGAATTTTATCAAAAAATTCAATACCTCAACAGTTGGCTTACCTGCATCCAATGGTATTAGTGGTTCTTTATTCGGTATAAAGACGAGAGATTTATCTTGTGTCATTCCGAGCAGTAAATTCAGGCATGAAAACGATTAAAATCATTTTCAGGCCTGTACTTACTGCTCGGAATGACATGTTATCAACACTCGCTCCTGGAAAATTTTGGAAAATAGATACGGCGTTCAAAACTACGTGATTATATTCCACATGTAGACAACAACAAATGGTCAAGCGACTTCACATGCAATGACCCGTAAGCCAATTTTTGAGGTATTGATTTTTTGGTAAAATTCAAAGTGCCCACAACCTCGCTATTAGTAGAATATCAACGTTGTAATTTTAACTCAATGTTACTCTGGAATAGAGCATTATTTGCTATGAATATAATAATTTTCGGAGCTTCCCCACCGGAGATATGAGATGTTAAAAATGACCGATTTGGGACCCAGAACAAAGTTTGGAAGCTCCTGGAAATTTTTGTAAAATAGATACGGGGTTCAAAACTACGTGATTATATTCCACATGTAGACAACAACAAATGGTCAAGCGACTTCACATGCAATGACCCGTAAGCCAATTTTTGAGGTATTGATTTTTTGGTAAAATTCAAAGTCACAACCTCGCTATAATAGAATATCACCGTTGTAATTTTAACTCCACGTTACTCTGGAATAGAGCATTATTTGCTATGAATTTTAAAATTTTCGGAGCTTCCCCACCGGAGATATGAGATGTTAAAAATGACCGATTTGGGGCCCAGAGTAAAGTTTGGAAGCTCTTGGAATATTTTGTAAAATAGATACTGGGTTCAAAACTACGTGATTATATTCCCCATGTAGACAACAACAAAGGCTAGAAACCACAGATCTGATACTTTCCCCCTCCCATTGCTTTTGAAGGTCAAAAATAGTTTTTTCCCCAAAATCTATAGGTAAGTTTCAAGATTAATTAGACCTAGAGGAAGTGAGTTGAGTAAAAGCTTGTAATGACATGAACTGTAGTACATACGATGAGGAACAAATCGTTTTTTTATTGGAGTCTAACATAAATTTTTATCGAGATACAGAAAATAACGCAAACTTTCATTTGGGCCGAAAACGCGTTTTTTTCGCATTATAAACACGGCTGTACCGGCTTAAATATTTTAAAAAGTATTTTACAAGTATGAAAATATATAGAAATAAGTGTACAAAATATAAATTTTTTAAATGGTCGAGTGACTTCACGTGGAATGACCCCTATCCCGTGGGTACCGGCGGGAGTGGAAAGCTGACCACTTGCCTTTGCCTAGTGCCGAGGTTGAGAAAACGTTGATTTATACATCTGCTCCCCCATACGCCTTATATGGCGTAGTTGTTAGTTAGTTAAGCACAGGAACAACTTTACCACTTACACAGACGGATTTACGTCACTGGGGAGATTCCGACACCATCTTTCGCAATCAGAGAAGTTCAGTCTTTAAAAATATTTGGTCAGCACAGAGAAAAAATGCTTTAAGAAAATAAACTCCTGGTAAGCAGCAGCAAGCTTAGTGTACGAAACGCAGATCAAACCTGCCTGGGTCATGACCTGACATCTGTAATAGTCTCCATGTACCTCGCAGGAAATGAAACAAACAGTACGGCTCAGAAAATAGGCCAAAATATAGTCATTGAGCATTTCCTAATGTCTACTTTAAAATATATATGATATTTGAGATGGTGGTTCTGTTTCTCAGTCCAGAACTTCGTATGGCAGCCATGTTCTGAATAAATTGAATTAACTAAAGATGTGATGGTTGGTGTTTGAATTATTTCACAAAAATCTGTCACTTGATTCAAATGTCGTTAAGGAAGAAGACTCTCCCGCATGCTGTTGATGAATTGGTCTGTCCACTGTAAAATTCATAGCTTTACGTGTATATGACCTTGTCGTGCTAGAAGTAGAACGTTAAATCTATAGATTATCCAGAATGTAACATTTCCTTCCAACAAAAACCTCGGGGCGGGGGGGGGGGTTGGAGATAGCCAGGCGGAACAATGGGGAATGATTAATGTCTGAAACTTACTGTGGAAGCTGTATTGATTTTTTGTTACCTTATGAATAAGAGGAACACGGTAATGAACCTCCGGGTTCCATAAAATTCTGGGAAGTTCTTGAGGTGCTGCATAATTGGTGGCTTCTCAAGAAGGGCTCAGCTCCGTGAGTGAGTGTATGAATAAGAAAGGTGGAAGACTTACGTTCATGTTGTGATTATTTGAGCACTGAATCTGTCCAAAGGTAAAAAAAAAAAAAATCGTGTGTGACACAGATTCTCCGAGATCAAGAGAATTTGTATTTATTTGTCTATTACACATATTTAGCCACTTCAGTATCGAATTACGTTTTTTTAGCTACATGTAGGCCTATATGTAGTATGACACTAAACCTCATGCAACACCGACACAGTTTATTGCTGCTATCTTCTGTTCCTATTCGGAACTGCTACCATCTCAGCCACCTTCTACTACCAAATTACGGGGAACATTTAATTATGTAAATGTATGTCTATGATAACTGCAACCATTATAGTTGAGGTTCTGAGCTTCGGTTCGCCGATATATTCATATTCAAGTAACATCGCACTTTCGTTGATTTCACTTTTTGTAGAATATAAAAGCAACATACGATCAACCAGTGAACTGTCGATCTCTCGTTATCATCATCTCGTTTATACACTTAAGGAAGGTCTGTGATTCAATTAAAAGAAAAATAAATATTATACAGTATTGACCGGATCTGTGGTCAAAGTTCCTGGCTATAGATCCATAGGTCCGGGGTTCGATTCCCGGCGCTGCCAGGTTTTCTGAGAAGTAGTGAGTCTGGAACGGGGTCCAAGCAGCCTCGTGAGGATAATTGAGCTATTTCAAGGAAATAGCGGATCCTGACTAGAAAACCGAAATTAACGGCCGTGGGGATCCGTTGCGCTGACCACGCGACATCCTCTATCCGTTAAAGTTGGCACTAACAAGCGGCGGTCACTCGGTCGGTATAGTTCACTTGCGGACTACAGGCCACGGAGTTTATTCTCATTGAATTCTATGTACTTCAGAGTTTTATGCTTTTGTGTTTTAATTTTGTATGCTGCATTTCTTTAAGGGGCATTTTGAAGTAACTCTCAGTATATTGATGTTATTAAGGTATTTTAATATGTGTTACCCATTTGCAGTCAGTGAAATGGTAGATCATGTGCTGGATGTTAATAGGATTTGTCACATTAATTTTAGCCTTGAAGTTCACCCATCTTCCTGCCCATAATCCCTGCACACATTAAGCACCATAACAGCGGAACGAGCTCAATATGGAGTTGGCATCTACACACGCAGGCCACCGTAATAAATTATATAATACCCACATACAGGCACTGAATGCAATACACACAGCTCAACATGATCCAACATTTTAAAAGGTAAAAGGGTACAGCTCCCCTGTGTAACAGGCCGTGGAGGCCCATAGGGTTGTGAGACGTCAAGGATCCCACATTTTCTGGACAATCGGCTCATAGATGGCGGTGAGGGTGTCAGCCTTACCCTCCAGCCGCCCTTTACCCCCAGGAAGATTCCTGGTACTCATTTCTGTTACAGGCTGAGTCAACCTCAGGACCCTAGTACGGCTGGAAGAATTAGGTCAACTAAAAAATGCGATGTCCTAATCGGGAATTGAACCCGGACCTTCCGGCTTGTAGCGTAGTGCCTGAACCAACCACGCTACCGTGCCCCCCGGATCTACATTTTAGTGAATTATAGAAATAAATAATTTTCTAAAAATTAAGTTTGCATTCACACGCGAAAACAGTACCATATACAATGAAAAAGTTTTGGCAAGTTTGTTGTATACCAGACGATGGCTATATACCATCAGAGTTTGAGGCTGTAATACATATGTACAAAACTAATAATATTGTTGCAGTAGAATGCTTAAGTACAACATTCATGTCGAATTCGCAATAACTACTTTTCCTTCTCCTAAACCCAGTAACCACAGAGTGAGGTTAAGACACTGCTCCCTCGGGGTTTAAAAAAGGGTTGAGACTGGCCTCGAAATAAACTCAGGAAGGATGTGACGTAATAATATTGTACTTTGTATTCTGTTCCGGTTTCTTCTTCGTCACTTATTGTTGCCATTTATTGGGCTGTAATATTTTGATTTTACTGCGTACATGTATATATCCTTTCCTTTCTCCGAATGATTGTGTGTGGAGTGAAGACTGTGAAAGCAGTTAATCTCATAATGAATTAATTTTACAGCATATTTTAAAGCAAGTGTCACGTAACTTCGAATAAGGCCAAGAGTAACCTTGAATGCGCAGAAGAAAAATT